GAGACCAACAATCAGAATGATGGTGATGAAGGTGTGTATTATAGATTGTAATTGTAGTTGGTACAGTGCTAATTCTTTCAAAGACGATCTTATTGACGACGATGAAGACATTGACAAGTCGATTTCGGGAGATGCGCACCGAAACCTTCTCCGTGAAGCGTTGATGCTGTCTGATGATGACGCCTTTTGGGAAAGCTTTCTTGAGTGCGTCACGTCTCATCAAGATATTGGGGAAGATGTCCAAGATATCGGAAAGGTGTCTTTATGGGCGGTGGTCATCAAGGTAAAAGTAACCCCATCTTTGGGTTACTTTTGTAATAACTTTTATACTTAGCCTGGTTATGAGGAGCAGATAGTCTTTCGAATCCATCGGCGCCTCATGGACAAGAGGTTTTCTGCACACTTACGACCCCCAGCGGTCTTTGGTTGGAAAGCACTACCCAGCAGAGTCTTTTTCGAAGGTGGTTCTAAAGAAATGATTCGCAAAGTCTGTAACGGCATATCAAATGTGCTGGCCTCAATGACTTTCAACATCCCGGATCCTAACCCCTCCATCTTCACTCTTCCCGACACCTTTCGACCAAAGCGTCATTCCTGGGTGAGGCTGCACTGCGGCATCTACAAAGGAGATATTGCCTTCATTCGGGAGGTCACATCCTTACTCATCAATGTCCTCGTGGTACCATGCATGACCTATGACCCACCTTCCACCAAAGTCAAAGGAAGCTGGCAGATTGTACATGAGGACCAAAACGATGAGACGGACGACGAGTTCGCAGCGTTCTACAAACCTGAACGCGAGCTAAACCGAAGAGCTTCAGCACCAGGGCGACCTCCCCAAGCCCTGTTCAATCCAACACTGGCCAAGCAACAGTTTCGTCGGGCATTCCAAACACGAAACAACTTATCATTATTCCGAGGAGTTCTTTACGATGGCGATGGATATGCGTACTTCCCGGACCTCGACACTGATTGGTATACCGCTGAAGATGTGGTACCATCACCGAAAGAATTCGATCTGTTTAGCACCTGTTTGGACATCCCTCTCAATGTCCGACAGCACACAATGGCGAGAATGTCGGCCAGGATTCTTCAGATAGGCGATGGAGTGAAATTTACTGACGGAGATTCGAGGGCGGGTTTTGGAACAATTGTTGACATTAAAGACAATGAGGCTGTTGTGTTTTTGACAATGTATGATGTGACAATTACTGTACCCTTTTCGTCGCTTCAAAAACATCTTAAAGTAGGGGACAAAGTGCGCATTCTTTCGGGAGACCACCAAGGTGTTACAGGCTGGGTAGTAAATCAAGACGATGACTATGTGTGTGTCTTCAATGACAGGACCGGAACAGAGGTAAATGTTTCGTTTTTACAATACATACTCTGACAATCCGTCATCTTTTAGGTAGAGGTATCCCCCGGGAATGTCAAGTTCTTCAGCTCCCCCTTTGTCTTCGCAACAGAATCCCCGGAGTCCTTGACAGCTGCACAAAAGCGAGTCATGAAGGGGGACTCAAACAGTCATCTTGTAGGAAAACGCATAATGGTAACCCAAGGCAATTTTAGAACTTAAAAAAGCACAGTTGGTGAGAAAAGGCTTTTGGTCGAACTCGAGGCACTCCTCCAACGCCCACAAATTTTGGACATCTCTGCACTACACATCATACAAGCCCTTTTGCTTTTTTTTCTTTCTGAAATCGATGCTAATTAGCTTCCAGTGCTGACGAAAGGCTTCAGCCCCCAAGGCCTTGAGAGCTTCTGACCAATTTCTCTTACCCACTTGAACCAGCGCCTCTGCCCGGTACTTTGGCAAGCTTTTTGTTCCCTGGTCTGCCCTTGCTGGATCCGCAACCCTCAGCCGCATATCCTGCTGCCCTCGTGCAGACTCCGACCATTGCGGGGCCATCTACTCTGCTTCCTAACTCACAAGATATCCCGACAAGCCCAGCTTGGAACCCAAGCTCAGATACCCCTCTCCGTGGCAATTATGGCAATTATATTTTTGATTCAGAGTCAATATATATACTGACGCAATTATGGCAGCCCCTCCGTATTGGCTTAGAGATAACCGCTTTGCCACCATGAGACTGAGCCTTCGTCTCATCAACTCCCACTCTAATTTCCATGATGGCAAGTACGAAAATATGTGCGGGGAGTTCAAGGGAGTGGTCAGAGATGTGGTTAAGGTCCAACTCGGTTTCACAGTGGTGGAAGTGCCCTT